TAATTCCATAAACATAAAAGTTAAATATATGTGCATGGGACCGGATAATAAGACGATGATCTATCGATCTTATTGCCTATTGTAGTTTGGCTGCATATATATCTGAAGCTACCTACCAGAAGCCAAGGTAAGATCGCTTTCGATCCGTGGCATGGCATGTTATAACTAGTCGTCGGAATCTTTGGAATTCGATATCATCTTTTGGATCAATTGGCTTGTCTCTTCCTCTGACATTCGATCTCCTTTGTTTTGAGACTGTGCATATGCCTCGAAGAACTCCTGGTTCACTTTCTCCAGTTCACTCCACACTGCACCAAAATCATTCATATCATGATCTACGTTTAAGTTCACATATATAATTTATATTTTTATAAACATTTAGTTTGGCACAAGTTTGGATCATATAGAGGCTGCTTCTCTGAAGATTCTTGAAGGCCATAATCTAGTTAGGCTCAGTCTTATTTTCAATCAAACTGATATCCATGACAGAAGGTGTTCGAACCTAGTACCTCGGGTGTGAATTGCAAACAGCCCACCACTGAGTTTAATTTAGATCAGCGCAAAGGGTTACTTGGGTTATTAAAGTTGAGCTAGAATTAATATTCATTGTTTGCCATAAACTGCATAATGTTTTGCAGCTTTGTGTACGTGATTTACAGAACAAATTTTGAGTCACGGGAGATTATCAACCTCTATAACCATCACAGCCTCCTTAAGAACTTGTTTGATGCATGGCTTAATTATGTTTGCTTGCATGCATGCTATGATTATATTACCACAGAAAATTAACAAGAGAGAGAGAGAGAGAGAAGAGTCGCGGAAACACCTGTTTCTTCCATATTTTGGACCTTAGTTCCATGGAACAATATAATAACTACTGCTGAAACATGGAAGAAGAGAGAGAGAGAGAGAGAGAGAGAGAGAGAGAGAGAGAGAGAGAGAAACATGGAAGAAGAGAGAGAGAGAGAGAGAGAGAGAGAGAGAGAGAGAGAACTAACCGGTGGAGGTGATGACAGGCTCGATGTTTGCATGCTTAGACAGAGCTTCCATGCACTCTTCTTTACTCATGTGGTAGATCAGGCACTTCTCTATCAGGTGCTGCACCTATATTTTTAATGAATTAGGGCACCCATCATCCCATATCAGAATTAACACCAATAACAGAAATTGAAACATAAACATGTATATACATACAAATCAAGAGATTAATGAATATGGAATTAACCAAATCAACAAAATGAGCACTGTACATATGTATATAGTTTTATGATATCTCAGTTACCATGTGTATGTATGATGCTGATGAAGAATCTCCCATGATCTTCTTAAGTTAGCTACAACTCTAAATATTTTAACCACACAAATATAAAACGACTGGGGAGGGAGACAAGAGAGTATAATATGATTGGGACTGAGTGAGAGGGAGTTGCTATAGCAGCTACTGCAGTGTTTAATATAAGATACACAAAGGCAAAGCAGGCCTGAGAGATCACAGGGAGCTGAGAGTCATATATATATATAATATATGATTGGGGAGATATATAGATCAACAGATCCAATAGCAATAAGGATCGATGGATGTAGAATTTAAAAAAAACAGTTTCTTAAAAGAGAAAGGCAAATGGGGGCCAGCAGTAGTGGGTTGGGGAATTGGAGAGTCCCACGTGGGAGATAGATTATAATTGGTTGAGAGGGGATTAGAGGAGATTTGTAAATGACCATTTCCTTGTCTTCTATCCAGTGGCATTAGGGCAGCCCCTTCTCCACGTGATAAGTGGGTCCCATTCCAAGTCAAATCCCTTCAAACAGGACAAACCCACAAAGAAACTCGAGCAAGGTATCCCAAAAACCTACAAAAATAGAATTCATGTTCTTCCAGTGATCATATAGGCAGGAGGGTGTATGTGTGTCTTGTGAATGTGACTGTATAGTAGCTAGCTAGTGTTCCAATTCTCTCATGCTTTCCCTCTGTTTGCTATGCTACAAAATTTGCCCATAACCATTACATGTCATATGGTGATTGGAGATTGAGCACCACAATAATATCAACCTGCTGCCAAGATATATATCTGCCAAAAGTTTGAAATATTGCTCACTAACTCTTTATCTAGCGATTTTTTATATTTAAATGTTGAAAGAAATTTTGAGTTTGAATCCCTCACTTAATTATGTTGATTTTAAAAAGAAAAAAGAACATTGGCTTGTTTAATTTGGCCGGTTACTTGGCTCTTCAAGAGCACCAATGAGCTAGCTATAATAATGGGAATAATCGGAGATGAATTTGATGAACTTGCAATCAGCTCTAGATGCTAATAATATTAATAATTTTGTTTTTCATTCCAAAGAGGAAGATGTTTCGAGTTCGAATCCCACTATCTCTTGATTTAAAAAGGAAAAAAAAAAATTAGGTTGTTTAATTTTGGCCCGTTACTTAGCTCTTCAAGAGCGCACTGGTGAGCTGCATGCTAATAATGATGATGTATTGCAATCGACTCTCTCACACTGTCTTGTCTTTGGTTAATTTACCAAGAAAGAGCCGAAATTCTGTGGGATCACTAAAACTGTTTTAGAATCTTAACTATTTGGGGGCTGCTTTCTCTTTTCTAAAAGCATCTCCAACCGATATGTCAAAAGTGCCACATAGATATTAACCGGCTAGAAATAACATCTCACATTACTCCAGCTGAATTGCCAAAGCTGATGTGGAATAAAGGCTAGAGGTTCAGCTGTTACTTTTGACATCCCAAAAACAAGATGTCAAATGAATATTTTATTATTTTTTAAAGACAGCTAGCTGTTACTTTCATTTATTATTTTCATTTTTTTATTTTTTTTTCTTCTTTATCTTAAATGATTTGACTGTTACAAATTTTTTCCTTCTTTCTATTTTCTTCTTTCTCTTTCCAATTTATTTCCAATTTAAATCAACACTAAAATGTAATAAAATAATAATTTAATTTGACATATATGGTGGAGTGTAAAACCATCAAATTTAAATTTGATGATTGGTATTTGACATCTCCCTTGGAGATGCTCTAATTTAATAATCATGTACATCTTTTGGTTCAATATATCATTTATGCTAATTGCTCAAATATATATGGATCGCATCAAACGACTCTTAAAGGAATTGTTTTTGGGGTGAAACTTCAACTTCCTTCATGGTATCATAGTGGGTTGCCCATGTGTGAAAGTCCATCGGCCATATGTGCTCCACGTCACTCAATATGTGTTATCCACATATTAGGCTTGAAAATTCGCCACACACATTGAAAAGTTGAGAAATCTAGCAAGAGCTTATAAAAAGTTGAACTATTCCCTCTATTACCAATTAACTTTGAATGGAACATCAACTTCCTTCATAGTGCAACATTACAATATGCATGAATTATTGCGAATGGGGATCTTTCATCCAATAATGGAGCCAAGAAGCAATATATGGTTAGTACACTGCTAGATTCTTTGGGCTGCAGTAAGTTTCTCCTTTCTTGCAGATGGGACAAATGTATCATCATATCTATCTTAGAAATTAATTGTTCAAGTGTCTTTTTATTTTTTATTTTAGTGGAAAGAACACATAACAAAGGCCCTACCCCTGACTAAATTAGATAACTATTTACCTTCAACCTTATCACTGCCTTCCATCTACAAGGAATTGTACGCGCATTAATTGGTGATCATGATACAACATCTGGATATCCATTATGCACCACTAAAGTCTAAGCCCTATATCACTGGATTTATCCTTATCTCTTATATGCACCATTGAAGGCACACGTTGGGCATGCATCATAATGCTATACCTCCGACTGCCACACAAAAAAAATCAGTAGCTAGTCCTATTATAGGGATGGTATATAATTGCAATTCCGGCGACAAGGGAAAATATTTGTAAAGACTCGTTTTTCTTTACAAACAAACAGTTTGACACACGTACATCAACTTTTCCTTTTGTATTTTTATCTTCATGAGTCAATTATATGTGTATGTGTTCGACTGTGATTGACGAGAAATGACTTTGTTACGGAGAACTAAAACGTACACAACCATGCTTAAAGGTGGGCTAAGCCCAAACCAGCATAAAGCAACTACAATTAGGTTCTGCTACAGATGTGGTTAGTTGAATCCCATCAAATTTGCACACTGAAATTGCCCAAATTTGGTGGTTTGCCTAAAAACGGCCCAGTGGATGTTTATTTCCGGGACAATTTTTAATTTTGTTTTGTATCCATATTCCCAAGGAAGTTAAACCCCAAAATGAACTACCCTTTTGTTCTGCTCACATTCTCTGCATCTCTGCATAGACTTTAATTTCTATGAATTATTTTGATCTGTTTCTCAAAGATTTGCTGGCCTAAGCATTTTAAACTTGCAAATATTGCCTCCTTCCTTTGCTTCTGAAGCGGTTGGGCCTAGCAAGAACTGAGAATCGAACTATTATTGGTTTTTGGTAGGCTGCTGGGCCATAAAGAGCTAAAAAAATTCATAGCTGGAAGAACTTATATATGAATATATAATGGCCCTCATTATATGTTGTTGGTTTGTGATATTTTAAAATAATTAATAGAAAAATATATCACACACCAACACCTTTTAATCCATCTAATTTACAAATAGAATATTGGGCACCCATCTACATGACTATATATTATAATCTGCTATATATATCTGGAACTTTATCTCGTAGCTGGTGCTATCACCGTGACATGCAAATTCGGTAGAGATTTAATGAGTAGGGACTACACTACTGTTATTCTTGTTAGTAGTTATGATATGCACTGTGATGCAGGGGAGGGCCACACCGTGAAACTTGAGGTGTCGGCAAGTGTTGTATAAATTTTCATTGTGTGTGCCTTGCTTTGTCTTGCAACAGTGATGTGTCATGCTCATGTGTGTGTATATATTTATAGATTATATAATTAATATGTATTATTAATGTTAATTATGAATTGGAATTTATATTAAATCAAGCAAATAACATGGGGATCCTAGGATCATCCTACGTTGGAATTTATATATTCAGTATTCTTGTTTGCTTTTTTCTCTTTTTTCATGATAATATAGAAAGAAAAAAGACATGAAAAAATGGATGGAAACTGGTTGGCAGGAACAATGATTCAGTAATTTGTCCCTATACCACTTCTTTAATTCTTCTCTTAACCATACATTATACATTATGTATAGTATTAGATTATGAATATGAATTAACTAGTTCTTGATTCGCAGTCTGATAATATGTAAAATAACCAATCACTTCCGATGGAACGTTAATTATCATCAGAATGCTTGGAGGATTCCCGTATCATGCTTCGGGTCAGTTGGCTTGTCTCTTCCTCAGACATTGCATCTTGTTTGTTTATTGATTGTGCATAACCCTCGAAGAATTCCTTGTTCTCTTTGGCTAACTCATTCCATACTGCACCGAAATCACTCCAGATCATGACTAAGCTACTGTCCTAAATTCTAAGTAACATTAATATTATCATATAGTTTGATATGAACGTCAAACATTGCTTGTATTCTTTGCTTGCATGTATATATATATATATATATATATATATATATATATGTGCGCG